TTTTAAATTTCATATTCAAATATTAACAGATCTAAAAGTCTAAATTTTCAAATTGTACATAATATTTATCATTTTTTTTTAATTTATGACCTCAAGAACATATATTCCAAATTTAATAATTTTTTGCTTTTCTGATAGATGTGTTATTAGAATACAAAGTTATTCAAATTTTTTAAATTCCACATTCAAATTGTTTATAGATCTTTGAAGCCTGACATCTCATAATAATAGTTAATTATTTTTTGATATTTCGAAATATATAATCTTAGGAATATATATGCCAAATTTGGTAATATTTGCTTCTCGTTGATATGTTCTTTGAGTGCAAAGTAATTTTGTATAATTGATTTTCATCTGATAATGATCATCGGTATTACGAGTATCACTAATCGTCGGGTCGGATTTTCCGGCAGCGGCTTTTATTATTCATTGTTCATACCGGGTTACTCCATTAGAGCAACCCAAGACCAGCGCTCCAGTTTGAGGGATAGTAAACCCACTCCAGACTTGGGTTTGGTACACTCCGGGTGTGCTACTCCATTAACAATCCTAGTTATATTGCAAAGAAAATGGTTCATAGATAAAATCTCGAGAGACAAGTTATCTTCGAAAATAACCGTTTGTTTTAAATTTTTTCTTTAACGTTATTCTTGCGATTTGATTGACTTAAACCTTATAAAATCACATGATCTTCCCTTTTTATGTACTTCTATACAGTCTAGCCTCGTTATAGCGGACCCGGACCAATGTGTCAGAACCAAATTTTAAATAGTGATTTTCTCCCGTTATTACGGATGTTCATAACAACAACTTATAGCGGTTACGGATTGACTTGTGTCACTTAACATAGTAAGTCCGCTATAGTGTGTTGCCAAATTGGCCAATTAAATTTGCTTCCGACAATCAGCATGCAAGAAATTCCAAACGAACGGTGAACAAAATTATCCTAATGCACGAAATCCCAATATTGTGATAATTTTTTCATTTGTAGCTTCGTATATTCGGGGATGCCGCTTATTCGAGAGTTCATTCGGGATGCCGTTTATTTGAGAATTTTGTTTATTCACGATTTCGTGTGTTAGGGATGCCGTTCATTCGAAATTTCGCTTGTTAGCATATGAATTGCTGAGATTATGTTTGACGGGTGTCGTATCAATGACATGCTTAAATGTAACATGTTACGATGACATTACATGGGTGCATATTTTATTGGACTGTATCATGTACTAATTTATCAAACTAATGAGGCATGGGAAATTTTATCATTACTAAACAACTTGTTATCCTCTCATCAATCAAACTTCATATTATTTTATCATATATTATCATATTGACATTTTAATATATATTTTGTTGCTAACGTTTGCTAGCATCTCATCAACCAAATTTCGTATTAGTATTATTTTTGTCATATATAATCATATGGCAATGTCATCTACAAAACGCAAGCGTACAGCAATTTCAGGTGCAACAAAATATGAAATTTGTCAGAAACTTTTAGTCATTTAAGCAGAAGGATCTTGCTGTCAAGTATATGATATCTGAGCAAGCTGTCTCAGATAGCAAAATAAATTGCTGCAACTTCAAGATGATGGATATCATATACAACTAAAAAAGAGTGCCAGCCAGGATATCTAATGATTGAAGAAGTCATGAAAAGCTGATTGCAATATGCGCTTGCAAGACAAGTAGTATTAACTGATGAAGTTCTTATAGAAAAGTTGAAAAGATTTTGAAGAACAGCAATTTCATGGATCAAAGGGATGGTTGGCATGGTTTAAAGCATGACATAAAATAAAAATGTTTGCAAGAATTGGTAAGAGTGATAGTGCTCCATCAGTAGTAGAGCTTGATATAGAATGAGAAAGATTATATACTATTATTGCTCAGTATCCATTACAAGATGTTTGAAATGCTGATGAAATAGGAGTTTTTTGGAAATAAGAGCTAACAAATCTCTTGTCATTAAGTATTAGCCAGGTTATAAGCTTTCTAAAGAATAAATTAACTATCTTATTGCTTGTAATACAATAGGTAAACAAAAATTTAAACTTTTATTTATTTACAAATATAAAATATCATGTTTACTTTGTAATATTAATCTTAATAATCTTTTAATTTTCTACTTTTGGAATAAAACATGTTGGATACAGATACATGTATATTTATATATTAAATCTTTTTTAACTATAATACTGATTCTAATTTATCAATTTTTTTTAAGATTTCTATTTGAGCTGCTATTTTAAAAAATTAGAATAAGCAGTTGAATAGACAAGACAAAAAAATCCTTCTTCTTATTGATAATATATCAGTATATAGACTTAAAGATATAAAATTGCAACATATTCAGATTGAATTTTTGCTATCCAATACTATCACTCATCTTCAGTAGAAATTATTCATTTATTCAAGTATTTTTATAAGAAAGATTTTATCAACAATAGAGTTGAAACTTATGATTCAATTTGTAACTAACCAAATATCAATCTATTTGTTTTTACAATTCTTGATGCAATTTATCTTGCAGCTAATACATGACAGAATATAACTTGTAATATAATTCAACAAATTGATATTCTTTCTATTGAAGATAATAATATATTACTTCTTATATCACTTCAATAAATTGAGGATAAGCAGATACATGAAATAAATATTATGATTACAAGACTTCTAATTGATAATCCAATTAATGCTGATGAGTTTTTATATTTGGATGATGTTTTACCAATTGAAGAAAATGCCAGATGATGCAACTATAATTGAACAAATACATTATAAATATAATAATAATGAAAACATTCAATCAGATAATGATGATGATACTTTAATTAAACCATCAATTTCTTTACGTGAGGAAAATTATGTTGCAAAAAGACTAGTTGAATTTCTTTTACAACAAAATGATAATTTTGGCATTTCTATAGAAGAATTAGACATGTAAGTGAAATTATTACATGAAAAAATATTGCTGCCAAGCATCAAGTATCATTAGATCATTGTTTAAACCTGTATAATATGCTTCATTAAATCTCTAATAAATAATTTTTTAAATATGATTGGTCAGATTTATTATACCAGATCATGTGTTATTTTTATTAATAAATCCATTATAATGTGATAACGGATACTTGCTATAACGGACTGATTTTTTCAGCCCAAGAGATCCGTTATAGCGAGGCTAGACTGTAAATCGCTGATGCATTGAAAGTTACGCGCTAGTTCTAGACATACATGGGCGCTGATTTGAAGACATATTTTAAGGATACGATTCTCGAAATAACGTTCATGAATGTTACTTCGCTACAATACGGTGGTATTTTCGCTAATATCAAATCACATATTTTTTTGCATCATGAAGTGGCCGATTCATTTTTGTTGATACCAAAAAAAAATTTAATCGATCACTTTAGGACGCAATATCTCGACGTTCAGTGATCGGGTTCGATCAAGAATATTTTTATCAGCTAGGCGAATCGGGTGGGATGCATTTTTGCTCGAATCGAACTGCTAGACGTCGAGATATACACCACAAAGTGATAGATTGCGTCGGAGCATTGAAGTTTTTGATAGAAGTTTGGCGTCCTATAAAGACGTAAATTTTTGTACAATACACGTGATTTACGGAAAGTTGGTTGGGGATTTGAGAAAATTCATGTAAATGTATAAGAATACATAAAACTATAGCGTAATAGATAGGAAAACGATAAAACAGCAAAACGGCAGTATCAACAATTCTACGTTCCGACGTTAATAATCATAAATTTGAATGTTAGCTTCAGAGTTATTTACTCCTTGTCTTTTATCAAAGAATCGTCGGTTTTTTTCAATCGGAATTCTGGATTCTTTAGATACAGTACATGTCCGTTTATTACCGGATTATTAATTGTCTCTTACACAAGTGTGAATTTTTAATCACGACATAATTTTGCTACTATCAACACGGAATTGCATATCTTTCCAATGTAGTGTAATGAAAACACCAATGTGCGATGTTTACTTGAAATTATCCTTACCACAAATGCCACGGAAAATTAAGTGCATCAAAAGGGGGGGAATTCATGTTGCACAATTGCTCTCTATAACAAATCGGTTCAAGTGTAGTTTTTCTATTATACGGTACCACTATATGCGCACTCCGTCAAAGATAGAATCTGGTGTTTAGAACGTTGTTATAACATTTACCGAATTCAACATTGTATATAGTATCCTTCAAAAATAATATCCTCCATGATTTAGACCTGGATACTTTCACTGTTTATTTTAATTTAACTTAAATAATATCCGGGTCTCAAACGTCGATATTTATCAATATACAGTATATTTAAATTTTAACGATCAAAATTGTAATCCAAATAACGTATAATAATAGTAATATATATAGTAATATTATTATTTAGTTCCAAAAATTAATATTTCCCTCTTTGTGCTCATAATATATCAATATCTCTTTATTATTTAAAGTTGGATAAACGTACAATATGCTATGCAAAATATCCTCCCCAAAATCAAGTTCTGCACGTAGTACCCACGGGTACTATTCATTAAATAGTATAAGTTTTGAAATAAAGACCTGATACTTTATACAGTGCTACACGGTAGATGCGTGAATATCATTCAGATGATTTCTTCAAACGCCGGATAAAGATCAATGTATTTATTAAAATTCATTGTATAAAAGTGATTTACTTGAAAAGAGTAACTTTTTTACGATAATTCCGACTTTAGCGTAATTTTAAATTTAAATTTGTCTTTCCAAGCTTGTAAATTACTAGAATTAAAGTAATTAAATTGTTGGATTTCTTACAGATTGAACGATTAAAGAAATTTTTTCAAGTGTCAAAATAAGCATCCCGTGACAAACAAGCGTAGATAATACTTAGATAAATAATTAAATTAGATCTGATAACGATAAAATCAAGAAAATTACTTAAAAAGCAATTGCTTATAATTCATTTTAGGCGATATTCTTCTAACAATAGAAATCGCGGGAAACAATGACGATAGAATTTGGTAATTGTTTATAAATGAGGAGATATTTATGAAAAGGCTTGTGAGACTTTAAAATAAAAGGCATGTATCATAAAGAGCATCCCATATCTTTGTGGAACAAAGAAATCGTCCCAAACGCCAAGACTTGGCTGAAAGAAGGTTGTCCAAAGCTGCTGACAGCAGAAAATGATGAAGACACATCATACAATACTTGTAAGTTTCAGAATTTTGTTACACCTGATAAGAAAATTCGGAGCAACGAAACACCAGATATCTGAAAAATGCCAGGAAAAATAAAAGATAAAAATATATGTTCATTTTTTCTAATTACTACATCAATCTGGTATAAAATGAAATCTTTGACAACATTTTATGCCGATATCAAATAATATTTATTAAAAATACTGTATAATATATATATTTCATAATAAACTTCGCTGAAAATTTCAAAAAAGTTAAAATATCGATCTATATGTTGTACAGACTTGTGCATGTACTTGTTGTATACATGCACTAATTTATAAATAAATAAATAAATAAATATATATATATATATATATGAGATAAAAAAATTTCTAAAATATGTAGAGTATTGCATGAAAGATTAAAATTAATCATTTTAAAATGAAAATATTCTTTACACAGTAGAAAGGAATACAATCAAACCTCGTTAAGTCAATGTAGCCGGTGCTATTAAAAATCTTAAAAATTAAGTTTCTCGAGGGAGACTTATTATAACTGTTCCCGGAATTAACCTCGGTTATCGGGGTCTTGATTAGTGCTTCGGTTGAATCGGGTCCGGTTTAACGAGGTCTGACTGTAGGCAATATAATAGTAATCTCTAAAATATTCCTAATATTTTTACAGTGGTTTGATTAATTCAGTATAAAAAAAGAACCATTAGAAAAGTTTATACAAAAAATATTATTATGATACCTGATACCTATCTTTTTTCTATCTGTGCCACATAAAGCATACTTCCGATACTTCGGAGTTTAAAAAAATATGCATGTAGTAAGCTTAATTCAAAAAAAAAAGAATTAGTGAAGTAACTAGATTCGTGTCTCTTTTTCAGCATGTACTCAGCCGACGAACAAAGCAAATAATCATTCCTTTGTTATCATTAATCAGATCTGTTTAACTTCCCCCTACTTTTTTTCCCACATAATTATAAAATACTCGATGCCTAGGAACACAAAAATATGTGTGTGCATGAATTCGATTACAACAATTAAAAAAAGAACAAAGGAACATGATTGCGATAACTAAAAATTAAATTCTTACTGATTGATATAATTTTTATGCCTATAATAGTAATGTTAACGACAATATTCCTTATTTACTATAAAACTTTTAAATACTGAAAAATATTATAACATTCATTCTTATGTCGAACGATATTTAAATACATCTTTTATTTAGAAACAAATAAATCACAATTGATATCTGAGATAATTATTAAAAGAACTATACTGAATTTTAAAGATTAAATTATCTTGACACCTTGTTTTCAAAATACAGTAAACGTCATATGTTAAAATCAGACATTTTATGTGATAAATGTGGGATTGTAACTAATCTGGCCAACATTAATCTATCTCTCAGTCCTAACACTAACCTTAACTCTAACTTTAGTAATACCCCTATTATTCTAAGTGCGGCATCTGACTCAAGGAACGATCTGAGGCACAACATATACATCACATTCATCCAGATCTTAATTTCGCTATCGATCACAAGTTTTAAATTCCGAATTGTGTTGAATCTCAAGAATATGTAGCAGTATTGAATCAACGATTCATCTCTAATCTTTAGATCCATAAGCGCATACATAATGCAGGAGTCAAGTATTCTTGCATTTAATAATTATAATTTGGTATCCTAAATGTTTTTAAACTTACATACAATATCGATATAATTCTATTAATGTAATTTACCCTATGTAATTTTTCTACTTAGCATGTCGTACGTAATCTTTTTAGAATATACATAAATATCACAGGATCAAAAGATGCTGGATCTTTCGTAAAAGTTTCTTTATTATACAATTAAACTACTATAGATCCACTACGAAATTTAACGAGAATGAATTGGAAGGAACGTAGATTTATAGATTAGATTGTCGATTATGAACTGTTAATAATGAGAGTTCATTTTCACGATAAATCCACATTTACAAAGTTTTAGTTGAAACGTGATCCTTGTTAAATTGAACTTCAAGTGTATAAATAGGCTTAATACAAATGATTGTATCAATAATGTTGTTGTTAGTTTATAACTTTTCATAGAGCACGAAGTATCTATTTATATTTCCTCAAATCTAATCATAAAACGCCTTGAGAACCGGGTACTTACAATAATATATATGCACGACTACTTTAGACATCAAAAGCTTGGCGTTTTATTTTATTTTTGTTGTTCAAAAGACTCTTCTAAATTAGATCGATTTTTATTTTCTGCATATTATCATAAAAATCAAAAGCTATTTTTAGATTGGTTGTGATTTATTGATTCTATGCATGTTCTAATTGATGAATAGCATATATACATATTCTGTTTATATAATAGAATGAATTTTTATTTTTGAATGCTTATGTTATGCCACCGAGTTTTTAGAGTAAGATTCTTAAAATAGCTTAGAGTACTTCGTCTTCTTATCCTGTATATCTATTGCTTTTCTTATTTTTTGGCGCTTCTTTTTTTAATAAGAATTGCAACGAATATATTATAAGTGTTTTATTTATTTATGAAAAAAGAATTTTTTTGAGAGTAATTAAAATATTAACAAATGAATTCATTTTATTTAGATTAATTTGTTTATATTAAAAAGTTTATTGGCTGGTTATATACCGCGCCAAAAAGCATCGCTGAATTGAGGATGATATATATATATGATAAGCATTCAAAACAAGATATTTTTATAGAAATATGCTATTTATCGGTTGTGCTTCTCCTCTTTAGTTACGATTAGGCTGTTTCTTACATTAAAATGGGTATAAAAATGTCTTTGTGCATGTTAAATTTAGATTTAAAGCGACACATTTTCACTTTCTCCAGGGAATGTATTTATTATTCGCGAATATGTTTTAAATGCCTATATTGAAATATGACTGAAAGAACCACCGCACCCTCTTTTACGCCCACCATCCCGAAGTGGTTATCAGCTTTATTCACCGAAATTGGATAGTGTTTCTTAAAAATTTTACTCGAGTAAAAATTTTCGTCCTTCATACTACAAAACCTATATTCGTTCTATCATATTCCACATTTTAAATTAAAACCAAATATAACAACCGGTCTCAATTTCATTTTCGATAATATAATTTCATGACTATTTTATCAGAAGATTCGACACAACACTGCAGAAAGCGCTTTTCGAATATTCTATATAGTATCTATCCTCTTGTATCTTCGAAACCATGTATTTACATTAAGTAAGACAGGGTACTTTTTAGTTTGTTTTTAAATAAACATCACATAACAAATAAATTCTTTTGAAATTAGTGCTTGCGAAATCCGGATTCACAAAAAACATTGATGACATACGTTAATTAAAACAATAAATATTTATTGGTAAGTACAGTCAGGATGGATTCTTTCTGATTTAAAAGATATTTTAACATAAATTTTTTTTCTAGGCACTATTTTCGTAACTTTCTCATCAAAATGTAGAATACAAGGCATAAGAACAAAAATTTTTCAATGGAAGGCCAGTTCTTAATTGCTTCGTATGACCATTATTTTTATTTCTTATGTTTATCTGTTTTCCTATACCTTTTCGTAATCACATCTAGTACACAAAAAAATTTCTCTTTTATTTTATTTAATTCACTGACTCTCCATTTTAAACTATGCCCTTTATATAATATATGTTAAATTCTATACCGCCAAAAAATAGCTCGTTACGCCTTATTTGCCAAATTCTAAACTTGTCCAATTTTTCAATATTTAACAATTTTTTTATAAATCAATGGTGCGAAAGTCAATATATAGTATTGCTAGTTTTAGTATTATGAACATCTTTATTTTTTTATTTTTATTCTGTTTTTTTTTTATTAATTTTATATTTTATATTTTATATTTCGAAATTTTTTGCACGCTAAAAATCAAAAATATCATAAATTTACTTTTTTAAGCAAAGAAACTGCGTGTTTTAACGCATCAAAATTTGTTTGCGCTTAACTATGATAATTTGGGAAAGGAAATTCGACTATTTAGTTCTTTTCTGTGTATCCCTTCAAATACTCATACATCAAAGAATTTTTGCGTATAATTATGGAGAAAGAAATAGTAAGAATTTGACCTTTTCCGTGATCTCTTCCAAATTTCCGTTTGTGCTAACGCTAAAACGTGATGTTTCATGACTTACCATTTTTGCTTTATCCTATGTCTAATTTTTTTGTTTTATATTCGCATTCTAGTAAAGGCTGTCGCAAATCAAAGGTTATTGTATCAAATAAAAATGACAACCCCGTTCTGATAGGCAATGTTCTCGTGATAGTCAATCATGTTAAATCTCGGGGATGAAGATATAGTAATTCCATCATGATAGACCGAATACCTCATAACCGTATTTTTAAATTTCTGACACTTCGAATAATGGTTCCGCAAAAATTATCAAATCCGTAATACCGAATATTGCTTAATTAAACAAATTCTAAATAAAAAATTTATTGACACGTATACTCATATTTTTTATTATTTTAAAAATCTCGATCTTTTATGATGAAGAATACATATATTTGAAATACTATATTTTATACTTAAATATTCGAATAAAAATTATTGTAATTTATTAAAGCAAATTTTGCATGTATTACTATCAATTTGGTTTTAAAAATTAAAAGAAATAAAAATCTATTAACAAAGCAATCCCACAAAATATGTAATACGTCTTATACATACATGTATTCCTCTTGCATCAAAATTTGAATTTAGAAATTAATTATATCTTTCAATAAAAATTTATTCTCCGAAGTTTGTCACATATCTCTATATGGAAATTTGTATTGGACGTAATATGCCTGTAAAAAACATAGAATCCTACGAAAAAGTATATATGTATGTAAAAGAGATTCAAAAATTCAATTTTTACATGTGTTTCCAGACATATTAATACATAAATCGCGTGTAGAATTCGTTTACCCTGCATTTACATACGTACTACATGTAAAAAGTGAACTTTTTACAAGGTACATGTATACATATAAAACAAATCAGTGTTTTATTTTTATTCTCGAAATGTGCTTGCATATAACGTCATAAACATTACATGTATCGGTGCATGTACATGTATTTAACCTGCGCCTTGCCCATATTTGTTTAAGCAGAAATGCTACAAAGTTCTAGAAAAATTCACGGTAATTTGGATCGGTCAGGCGCGCGAATTTTTAAGGTTTAATCGCAAAGATCAATGCTAGGATTTGGACAGTATTATCTATTGGTCAAAGATCTTCTGGATAAGACTAATTCTTGTAAATGGTTGCGACTTTTCACGTGATTTATTCTGAAATGGATATTAATATCTTGCAATTTGATTGGTTCACGCTTAAAAATCACATGTCCCTGTCCAAATTAAAAATGCGCCAATTTTTTTTTGATAGTCATGCATATCATGAATGTAAATGTATAAAGAAATGGAAGTTCAGTTATTCTATCTGGTCTTATCGTAAAAGTCTCACACATAAAAAAACGTCTGCATTATTTATTTACATGCACCCACTTCTTAAAATATCGCGCATTGCCTGCACAAACATCATATAATTAGACTTCTTTTACTCATCTTCACCATATACATATCGAGAGAATACATCTAGCGGTAAATCAAATATTTAAATGAAAATTCCATATACATGTACAAGGCAAACTCGTTAAGACGAAGCCACGTATAGCCGAAATTGCATTAAGCCGAAGTTTTTTCTGTTTACCAAATTTTTATTATATATAAAATTCGGCTTAGTGCGAAATTTAGTAAAACGAAAATCTCCGGTAAGCCGAATAAATTGTCTCTGCCCCCCGACCTTCGTCTTATCGAGTTTTCCTTGTATAGAGATGTAAAATCATAACTCAAAGATTTATGCATTCTTATTTGTTTTTGTGAAATCCGCGTATTTTTATGGAAATGCAAGTGAAGAATTAGTGAAATCAGGAACGACCACAAATGACATAAAACAGATGCTTCGATCAATCCGGTAAAACAAATCCAACATAAAAAAAAAGAAAAATGGGAAAGAACGAAAAATACAGAAAACATATGCTAAAACCTTAGCTTGAATGCTAATTAAAAATGATGGTGAGGCAATTTTAAATATAATTGTGACCTTAACTTTAATTTAGCCTCAACTAAATCTTCCTTAAAATCGATTACAGTAGAATTTTCCGAAATCGGATGAAAATTAGTGAATCAAGAACAGAGGCTTTAAAATTTAAAGAACACAAATGAATCAAAACGAGTCTTTATAAATATTTAATCCAAAATTTAAAAATCGATATCTGTCACAAATCTCAATTAAGACTCATTTGTTCTCTGGTTTCAAATTAATATAAGATAGATTATGTCGCAGTTAAAATTATTATTAAAAAAAACTTGAAGATAACATCAAAATTAATATATTTACTATGGCTGAAAAGCAAATTCATTCCTGAATAACTTTAACAAAAAAGTAATATTACAATATATATTAGAAGAAAAAATAATCAGTTTCATATAATATTTTAAATTGATCAGACCGTAAATTAAAAAAAAACATGCGATATCTCTATAACTAGCTATCAGAATCTCATGAAAATACACCACTCGATTCGTCATGTCTAGACGAATCAATTGGTGGTATTTTCGTGCGATTCCGACCACTAGGTATCGAGGTATCGCGCTGCGTCATAATATCACTTTTACTTTATACATGTATTAATAATTCACTATTGAATATGAAGGAAAAATAGTGATGGTTAGCTAATAAAATATCACGGTTCGTATATTGGTAGTTCAAGTTTTATTAAATGAAGTAGAGTTTTGAATTATTAGGAAGTCGAAATTGAGCGAATGTTTTCCATTTAAAAAAAATTATGTGCAGCTTTCAGAATTAGTCGATAAATCACTTATTAGTTTAATCTTTAAATGGAACAAACTTTTGTTACATTTTTTATCATAGCTTTCAAAAGTTAGAGACAACATAATCAGTGAAAAATCCATGAAATCACATTAACCAATTGCATAATAAATTTTAGCATATGTTATTTTTGACTTCTTCGTTGTCATTATCGTTATGTTCAGTCAGACTTCCCTAAATGCAACTTACTCGGACAAACTTTTTGACACTGTGCATTTAGAAACAATAAGAAAAATTGCATTTATGGAGGCTAAGTATATACTTGGGTCAGAGTTTGAGCTTGCATTAAGAAAGATGTTGCATTTAGAAGGTTGAGGTCTGATTGTAATGGAAATTCGTAAAGATATTGTGATTACGTTACAGTAACATATTTTATTTAACATCTCGCTATAAAGAAACACTAAATCTCTTCCCTGCTCTCATTATTTAATAATTCATCATTGATTCGATCTCAACATATAATACAAAAACGCCGCCCGCATCATGTTATTGTATCGAACGTTTATTGCAAATATTTACTTTTTCTTTGTTAAATAATTTCTCTTTTGAAACTTATTAACTACGGCCATACACAGTGAAAAGCACCGGAACCCGTCCGATCTCCGAAGTTAAGCCACTGATGGCCTCGTCAGTACTGCGGTGGGGGACCACGCGGGAATACGGGGTGCTGTAGTTTTGAATTCTGGTTTTCTTAGCATTTGATTTTAATTGAAAAATGTGCTTTTTTACTTATTGTTAATAGTTACTGAATAAATCTTTGTCTGAAATTAATTTGTTAGTTTTGCCAATTATAACGTTGAAATCGTAATTTTTACACTATCCGAAAATCTGAATTTGATACATGTTGTAATGAATTTTTAGCAATATCTCTCATAAATAAAACTATAAAATCGAGAAATAATCTGTGCGAAAAGTAGAAATCACTTGAACTTTCTGATAAATCTCGTAAGAATTTTTACATCTAAAATTTTTGTGTTCGTCCCATTTTATTCTTTATCGTAAACTTATTTTTTTAATATCTAATCCTCATAAAGTATCCTTATACATGAATTTAGTATCTCGTGGGCCACCCATCATTTTGAATGCATACCTCAATCGAACTCTTTTAGGCATGCTTTCAGCCAAATTACTATACCCGTGGGCTGGAATTGATTCCATTTTTCGTGTACTGCATTCTCACGGTTTTAAACCTGAAAACTCAGTTTTCAGAGTTCTTTGGCATGTTAATAATAGTTAAATAGACTTCCTATAACTCAACTATTTGTCCACGTAGAAATTCTGAAAATTCGGTATTCTTACTATAACGATCAATAAAAATTAATTATCACATTGATATGATACAACAATTCTCGATTGTAAATGTTAAAAAACTCTATGGGGTCGGTCTTTTTTTTGAGTCGACTTGGCCTGGACAATTTCGAATCGAGTTTAGACTCGAAAGGATCATAAAGAACGAACCACAAAAATCACATGATGAGATCAGGTGCTGTAATTATTATTTAAAGAACATCGAATAAAATGATAGTTAAATAGTGATTTATCTCAAACAAAGTCGATTAAAAATTGGTTTTTTTACCTATTTACAATGTTAAAGAATGTTATTTAATTACAAAAAGACAACGATTTTAATTATAGATTAATATATATATGTTTCTTACTGTATCGTGTATTAATCAAATCATTAATAAAACAATATATATAAAGTCATTAATCTTTCGATTTTAAAGTCATTTTACTGTTGTAAACGGATATACTTCATTTAAAGAAATTCAATATAATTTTTAATTTTTTTAAATTTATTTTATATAAATCATTGAAATTATAAATAAATCAATTTTTTAATGCTACCTTAATTATTAATTTTATTAAAATTTATTAAATTTTACTTATATATTATTACAGGTATTATATTTCTCACTGAGCTTGATAAGATTGAGTACAAATAAGCATTTATTTAAACAGTAAAGAAAAGTTATAAAGAGCAAATTATAAAAACTATAAATAAATTATAAATTATAAAATAAAGTAATATCTCAAATTTTATATTAATTACTATTATAATAATAAAAAGAAAGAGAAAATAATAAAGAAATATTATGATCTCTCTCTATTATTAACTTCTCAGATATCAACATCTCTTTATCAGCAATATTAACTCTGATTCCAAATTATATATACATATATTTCCTTTAAGATATCAATTTTAATATTATTTCTTCTTGATATTATTATAAATCTATATTTGAGTTTCTATATATAATAATACTTTCTTTTAAATATCAACTTTTATATGATCATTTTTCTATTATTTCAATTATTTCAAAATTACTTTTTATAAATAATACTAACTGTTCTATATTTTTATATACTATTAAAAATTTTTTTAATAATCTTATATAATTATCAATCTTCTTTATTTATATATTAATCTTTATATAATAATCTAATTTTATATTTCTTCTTATTTCTCTTTATTAATATTATAAATTCTCATCTTTTTCATTTTGATAAAATTAGTAAGCTACAAGAATATTTTAATATTTATATTTTTATTTTTCTGCAATATAAATTTATCTTATAAAAATATATTAATTTATTTTTAATAATATAAATATACTTTTTTAATATTTATTATCTTGAATAAATATAAATCATATTTCTCTTCTTTAATAATAAATTAGTTATTATTATTAATTAATCTCTTTAATATTATAAATTTATATATAAATAATAATAATATGATCTGATACAAAAAGATTAATATACTGTCACCATAGTGACATAAAATTCCTTAATTCCTTAATCTTTCTCTAGTTATAAAAAATTATATTTTATTATAATTTTATTTATTTTATAATTATCCCTAT